CTCTCATCTCTGAGATATCTCTTACCACTTGCCCATCTCTCTCTTTCCAGCCACCTTGGCATTTCTGCTTAGCAAGTTTACTCTCAGCATTTAATTTCAAATATCACCCCCTCCCCCCACTGAGAGACCAAGTCTGGTTACCCTATTCACTCAGCACTCTTCCTGAGCTAATTCAGTTGACCTTTATCTCATTACTGTTCTGTTTTCCTCTTAGCATATGTCACCCTCTGAAGTCACCTGGTGTGTCTCACTGTGGCCGATGTTACCAGTTGTCTACGCAACCATTGTTCATTCTCTGTTATCGCGAAGAATCTGACTATGTCCCATGGGCCATGCTCCCAGCTCGGGGCACGGACCATGATGACACCAAGCCAGTCACAACCACTGTGCTTCCCTTTGTAGAGATCACTGTTGGTGGGGGGGACAATGTGGCTACATTCTGGTCAGTGGGATGCAAGGGTAGCCCCTGGGGCTTCTGGAAAGATTTTCTTTCTGACTAAAGAAGCAGGCAAAGAGCAAGTTCGTTTTTCCTTTCCTCTTGATTCCTGTCCTGAATTTAGAGGTGATTTCTAGAGCTCCACTGGCTGTCTCGTGTTCACAAATTAACCTGTGGGAGCCCAGACACACAGTGCTGAGCCTGATGGAAGTGGAGGGAGCTTGAGGTTTTGACGATACTGCGGCCATTGTACCCACCCTAGACCTACCTGCTTCTTGATGAAGGACCATAACTGTCCTTATGTTTTAAGCTACTGAGACTCAATCTTAAAATAAATAAATAAAAATAAAAGCTAATGTTCTGGGGGGCATCTGGGGTGGTACAGTCAGTTGAACAGCTGACTCTTGGTTTCGCCTCAGGACGTGGTCCTCGGGTCATGAGATCAGGCCCCGAGTCAAGCTTCACACTCAGCCCGACATCTGCTTGAGATTCTGTCTCTCCCTCTGCCCCTCCTGCTCGTGCTCTGTCTTTCTCTCTCTCTCTCTCTAAATAAGTGAAATCTTAAAATAAATAAATAAAAATAAGCTACTGAGACTCAAGGTTTTTTTGGTTATTTGCCTTGAAAGTGTCTTAACTGACATACTCCTCCACCATTACCATAGAAACGTTTCTGTTGTATCTAGTCCTGGGATCCCCAGGTTGAGAACATCTGGAAGGTAGAAGACACTCAAAGAATACTTGTTGGGTGGACATATGGATGGATGAAAGTGCCCATTTTCTATGTACCTTGGAGCCTCTGTCTCTGTCCTTTCCTTTGGTACACATAACTCTTCTTTTGTCCTGGGCTGCCTTTCCATTCTAGTCTCTCCTTCAGGAACTCGTCTGGCCCAGCTCTGAGCCTGCCTTCTCCTCTGTTAACCCTGTCTCCCCAGCCCATCACAGCATCAGATTAGGCCCAGCCAAGCTTCTATGTGCTCCTCTACAAACCCACGTTCGTTCGTCCTCTGGTTCCCACTTGGTGCCTTCAAAGCCCAGACCCAGTGGACTTCTCCTGGACGTACCAGCACCAATCTTATTGTACCTATTGTGTTTTTTTGGCAGCCAGGGTCCCATTCTACCTGGCAGTGTTTTCATAAGCAAACATTTCTTTTTTCCCAGTAGTATCCTAAATGCCCAAAGAACCAAATCCATTTCTTTTTGCTTTTTAAGATTTTATTTATTTATTTATTTGACAGACAGAGATCACAAGTAGGCAGAGAGGCAGGCAGAGAGAGAGGGGGGAGGAAGCAGGCTCCTTGCTAAGCAGGGAGCCTAATGCGGGGCTCGATCCCAGGACCCTGGAATCATGACCTGAGCCGAAGGCAGAGGCTTTAACCCACTGAGCCACCCAGGCGCCCCCCAGATCCATTTCTTGCTTTGATTTGTACCTCTCACAAATAGCAGGTCATAACCATAAAAACTCTGTTTGGTGAATTTCTGTTAAATGGGGGCAGGATGGCTTGGTGGTTAAGCCATCGCCCTTTGAGGACAGGAAAGCCAGAGCTTGTATCTGCTATTTGCTTTTGCTGTGCCAACCACAGGGAAGTCACCTAACCTCCCAGAGCTTCAATTTCATCATTTATAAGAGAGAATAATAGTATTTACCTGACAGATAAATACGGTGTTTAAGAGAGAATACATACAGAATATTTGGCTCAGAGCCCAGGGGAGAGTACACACCCATTAAATAGTTATTATTATTGATAGGTATTTTTGAATGAATGCTATCTATCATATTCATGAGGATGGTAAAATTACTATTCTCATAGATAGTTATAAACCATGTCTAGCAGATTATGCTGGGATGTGGGATTTTAAACACACACACACACACACACACCCCTACCTTTATCCATGCAGATATGATATCAAATGTTATGGGTTTTCAGCGGGAACCTTGATAAGTATTGATATTGACATAAGAACTATGGGACTTGTTAGATGCCCACATAGGAATTTCCTACCTTTGAAATTTTACAACAGAGACTATAGCAGACCGACAATGAATCTGAAAACATTTGCTTATTTAGAGAAAGGAAATAGGAAGAAGTAAAGGCCATTTGTATGCCAAGTATGTTGGTGTGCCTAAATTTGGAAAATGTAATGTTCAAGTCAGGACTCCTGGTTGCCAGGCTCAAAAAGTGTCTCTAGATCATGAAAGCAGAAAGGAATTTATTGGCAGGATCTTGGTGGGTATGGTGATGGGAGGCAGTTCACAGAATCACCAGGAAAGCTAAAGATCCAGGCTCATAAAATGGAGAATACAGATGTAGCCCCAAAAAGCAAATTGCTGGGGATGCCTTCTCAGACCCTGTGTCCCCAGGATAACCATCATTGATCACATGGCTGGGCTCTGTGGCCGCTGATGATGGCTGTAGCATCCTCTGGGTTCTGCATTCCAGTGCAACCAGAGAGAATGAGCCTTGAATGACTGCACGCCTTGGCCACTGTTCCTGGATGGCACATTTGGTGAGCCAAGCTGGGTTGCGCCTGGCTCTCCAGCTGCCCAAAGTGGAGAAAGGACATACCTGCTCCCCTCAGTTTCTACAGGGAGGAAGCAGGACCTGTCTTGGGATTCCTCATCCCTTCACGGGTGTTTGGCTGCTGGGAGACTCCCCTAAATTGTCCCTAGAGCTATGAAGAAAGAGAGAGCGACAACCCGAAAGCAATACCCGAAATGAAAGGCTCAGAAGGGATCCCTTCCAGCTGATAGACACCCCCTTCTCTACACAGTGACCTTTCTGCAAAGCATGATGATGTGATGAAAAGGGTTGCTGTTGCCAGATACCTACTGGTAGGCTCATAAACGGGTCTTCTGGAGCCCGATGGGCGGAGGCAAAGGCTTTCTCTGGAAAGGGACAGCAGATGGTATTCTTTGCCACCCCTGAAAGAAAAACGGCTGGAGGAAGCAGTGGGGCTCCATCTGGGAGGAAGCCTGTCTTCTGTGGCCAAGCAGTCAATGTGTTTGCAATCCTTACACTTTCTGCGGGGTTCTCGCGGAAGGGCAGATGGTAGAAGGCTGAAAAATTGCAACCAAGAAAAACCGTACCTCTTCGCATTACTTCGGAACAGACAACACGGCTCTGAGAACCTAAAGGCAGAAGATCATAGAGGGAAATGGGGGAACATATGCCGGGAAAGGCACAAATGATTTATTAAGGGAGATGAAAAGGTGGATGGGCATCAGGCTCTGATATTTGAAAATGTTGGTGGCCGAAGAGTTTATCCTGCCTCCCAATCTGACCCACAGGATTGAGCCAGAAAATGTGTTCATGACTGTTTCCATGGCTCTTAGTCAGCTCCAAGTCATTTCCCCTTTCAGATTATTTCCATTTTAAGGCCCAATTTCCATTTGCTGTTTGATCTTCTGCTTTTAAGACATTCAGCCAATATCACCATCGGCCTCATGCCAGGTTTTCTTGCGAGGCTTTGAACTTGTCCTTTATCCTTTATCCTTGTAGGTGGACTCTGTTTGTAACTGGCAGCTCCCAGGTAGGCAGGGTTTCGCTGAAAAGGTGGAGGTCAGACTGAAAACCTGAAAACCCCTCTTCTAAACACCAGTGGCTGTTTGGAATAAAAAGTTCTGTGGCAAAGTAATGATGTGATAATCAATTTATTAATGACTAATAAATGATTTGCTACAGTTGAACATGACAGTTCCAGCATTAACAATTATATGGAGCTCCCGAGAGAAATTTCTTCTTCAGTTTTAGAATTATATTTACTCTACCCTGAAATGCCTTTCAAAAAAATATTCTCAGTTTAATTCTTCACCAGTATGAATAAAAAAATTATTCTGGGGTTGGGTCCGTCTGACATAAACTAAGCTATAAATGGTTCAGTGGTTCTTTGTGTCGTCCACCAAAATTGTTTGATGGTTTTCTGCCTCAATTTTCAGCTCTTGAAGGAATTATTTCCCTTTGTATTTTCACAGCTCATAAGGGCATTACTGGCTAGCAGGAGTACTTAACCCCCACCACCGCCCCCCCCTTCCCCAGTGACCTTTGCCACTTTTCTGCAAAACAAGCCGTTTGGAGGTGGTTTGGCCTTACCTGTTAGGTTCACCCTCCTCTATTCCAAGGAGTCAAGGACTACACTTTCTCATTGTCACTTTTCCATTGTTTCTAAATCCTAGGGAGAATTTTATTCTAAATGATGCAGATGACAGCACCTAGTAAAGTGCCCTTGTAGATTTAATCGCGTACCTGCCACTAAAAATCACCTAATAGATGAACAACACAGAAAAAAAGCTCTCGCCACCCACACAGGTCGTGATAAAACAGGGCAGCGTTTTGCACTTGCCTCAGCGGTATAGCCTGCGAAGCCGTTCTGACCCCCATCTTTCTCCCCCTTCCTTAAAATTTCAGCTTCATCTCAGGCAGCTGCGGAATCGTGAAACAGAATGCCACTGTCTCTATGTTTCCCAAACTATGCGTCTTCACCGCGGACTGCCCATCTCGATGGCATGCTTGCCAAAGAATTAAACCCAGAATATTCATTTAGCCTCTTATTATTTCCCAAGAAAGAAAGAAAGGGAACTTCCTTGCCCTTGCCCTTGTTCCTCTATGCTGTTCCCATCGTAAGATGCTCCGTGGAAGGGAGCCGAGCGGTGGGCAGTGGCTGAGTCCCCGATAAGGAGCGCCTCACATTTCCCTGGCATTCCCATTTGCTAGAGCGCTGCTGCGGCCGCACGCCTGATTGATATATGACTGCAATGGCACTTTTCCATTTGACATTCTCTCTCTCTCTCTCTCCCTCTCCCTCTCCCTCTCTCTCTCTCCCTGTGTCGCTTAAACAACAGTCCTAACTTTTGTGTGTTGCAAATATAAAAGGCAAGCCATGTGACAGAGGGACAGAAGAACAAAAGCATTTGGAAGTAACAGGACCTCTTTCTAGCTCTCAGAAAAGTCTGAGAAGAAAGGAGCCCTGCGTTTCCCCCCAAAGGTAAGCAGGAAAACAAGCGCTGACGGCTTGCCTAGGAAATTACTTCTTTCCAAACCGAGCATTTCATCCTCCTCTCAGACAAAGAGACAACCTTTAAATACCACTTAAATTTGCATTAATTGAATTTGCATTAATCGGTAGTGTGCTAGCTTTGTGGGTTTCTTTTTTTTTTCTTTTTTTTTTTTTTTTAAACGAACGGGTCTTTGAAGTCTGTGACAGAGCAGGGGAGCCTCACGGAGAGGCTGGAAAATCCCTTTGGGTTTGTCCGAAAGGGATTTCATTTTCAAACTCTCTGCGTAGTTCAATGTAACTTTGTAATGGTTCTTCTATTTGACCCGGTGAAAGGAAGACTGGGAAGCAGCATTGGACGACATGGATTCCCGAAGCCCCAGTTTCTTCCCCACTGCCCCCATCCCTGTTACAATGGGGGCACTATGAACGCGGGCAATCCTGAGAGTTTAAAAGCGCACTGTTTACTTTTATTACTACTTCTGTATGCTGCTGATCTCCTGCCAGGGCTCCGCCGGAGTGCTTAGAATGACTTCAAACAATAGGCAACATTTATTTCTAGCTTTCTGTATCACGCTTTGCAGGAATCCTGTTCCTTTGCACTCTCCTTCCAATGTGCAAGGACTTCACTTCCATAGACGCAGGCAGGAGCACTGGGGAGAGAGGAGGATGGGTTTACTATAGGATTTTGATTGGGCAAAAAGTCCGAGGAAATGCATGCTGTTTGCCTTGGCCTTATTGCCACACTGTCCAAACGGTGACCGAGAAAGGATGCTCCCACCGGCGCAGAGATGGGGACCTGTAGGAATGACTCCTACGAACACCTGAGGAATATTCGGGCAGGGTGGGGGGGTGGGGGTTCTTTCACGCTCCTGAATGCAAGTTCTCTCTTTAACAATTGGGCTGTAGGAGGCCTGGGCAAAACTCTTTCTTAGGGGACGGGAAGTTTGTGTACAGAATGTTAATGACTCGGAACGCCCTGTAACTGAGGCTCATTGTAATTCAGAAGCCCAGATAAACCTGCGTGGAAGAGTTGACTCCCTTCTCCACTGAGATTCAGGTGCAGGAAAGGAAGCACTTTGTCAAGACGGGAGTCCACTTTCTGTCCTTTGTAATTGTCATTGATAACAGATACGGATGCTGCGAAATGTCTCATTTCTAATAATAGTGTATTTTAATGACAAGGACCTGGCATCGGCAAATTGCTCCAACACAGGATATTAAATCCCCAGTGCGTTTGAAAACGTAGAGACGCCTAAAATGCAGTGTGGGCTGTGGGTGTCAACGAATGGGGGGCTGGGGAGCTGCAGAATGCTTCTCAAGGGGGCCTTTAGACCAAATGCAAATATCGGCCCATTTTCTTCTCAGCGGTCTGGTTTCCGAAATTAAACTTGAGGGTCTTCTTGACCAGATTTCACTGTGGAGCGGGAACGTGGCTTATGGGGGAACCTTCCTGATCTCCTTTAATAACTAGCCTAAAGGGCATTGTTGAGTGAAAACCCAGCTTTTGAAAGAGTTAATTTACAGCCCTGGGATATTCACGATTTGAGAAAGCCCGAAAAGATACTATGGGTTCTATTGCTATGCAATTTTGCAGTGACTTTTTTTTTTTTTTTTAAACTCCTGCTGTTAACAAAGCAGTGGGCTGAGTCAAAGCAATATTCTGGTACTGTTACTTAGATCATTTTACGAGAGTGTCTGAACCCAGAACGCCAAGTTTTGCATCATTTGCTTTAAGATATATTTGGTTCAGGTAAAGGGGGAACTTGGTGGAGGACTTCTTGACCCTCTGTGTACCAAGCAGCTGACACCCCCAGATGGAAATATGCCTGTGGAGTTTTCAATCTTAATTCGAGTTCCAATGATGCTGTCAAGGGGAAAATAAATCATTTTTCAATACATTTAACAATTTCCAACTCATTTATTTTCCTGGGCCCTTGAAAAATGTGAATTTCTCGGCAGCCTAGCCACTGATGGTGGCCAGCAATTTCTACTGTACTTGAAGGACTTACAATTCAAGCGCTATTATTCTTACTAGTGAATTATTCATGCCATCAACCTTTTAAGAAATGATGCTAGTCCTGCTGGATGCGAAGGTGACTGAGGCATTGTCCCAAGGCCCAGTTCGCAGTCTGTATGCTATCTCCAGTCAGATTTGGGGACTGACACGGACTTTGCCAATGGCTAAACGGGTCCATGACTGCCTTGTTACAAAGGCCCATTTCAAATATCTGCTGAGACCCCGATTTATTTGCAATGACTGTCGCTTATCAGTGGGTTTTCTTTCCATTTGTGACGAAGGGGTTCCCCTGAGGCCTTTATCACCGAATCTTGGGTACACATCACTCACAGCTAGCATAGCCCGGATCTTTCCCTCCTGGGTAGAGGAAGCCTGGAAAAAGGGCAGTTTATCCTTTCTCTGTTCCCTTGAGCACACTTGGGAAAGGACCACGTGCTATCTCTATCAGGGATGGCTGTGAGTCACCTACACTCAGCAGCTGACATCAGGGCCACTGGATGAATCACTGAATTAGAAACATGCACAGAGCAAGATGCTATCACTGGCTCCCACCACTTACTTGAACCGCCCCCAGGATCCAAACCAGTGACCTCTGGGTCTGGCTTGAATTCAAGGGGCCCCTGGGAAGAAGATGCCGGAAGTCGTTCCCTAAAACCCAGGTCCCCATCAAAGCCACACACAGGGTTGCTTTCAAATAACGAAGGCTTGTGTTTTCTGGCTTGGGTAGGTTACTGGGGGTGTTGGTGGTGGGGGGGAGGGAACCCTGAAGACAGCATCACCAGAGTCCTTGATTCAGCCCTTATCAGCAGATAATCCCCCGTGGTTGGATTAAAATGCCTCTGACTCCCTGGGGTGCCTGACTCACCCTAGCCAGCCTCTGCTTCTTGGCCAGCGGCCTTGAAGGCCGACCTCACCTCTTCCCATGAACGTCAGCTCCTGCTACGTTGTCCAGCCCCCACCACCCCCCAAACCCAGCAGGGCCAGTAAGGGCAGAAGGGATGGGGAGGCAGGTGGACAGATAGAAGTACTAGGGCGGAGGCTGGTAGCTGGGCCAAGGGAGGATGGGTGAGCTCCAGGGCCCTGATCGCTGTGGCCTGCCTTGGCTGTGATCAGCTGTCATTTCCTCTTCGTGTATGACACTGGGGAACATATTAAAATTTGTCTGGGATGGTATGTTTGGAATTCCTCTGATGCCCCACCTCACCAACTTACCCGGACAATAAAAGCAAGGTTGTAAGCCTTTGAACAGCTGGCCGGCTATATATTTCCCCGCTTTCTTTCGCATAATCTAATTCAGAAAAGAATCCAGTGAGACTGGCAGTGCCATGTCTGGGTACTCACTCCCGGCAAGTCCTTCCTCCGCCACCTCCTTCCCGCCTGCCCTGGAATCTTCCTGGGTGGCATGTGGCTTTTATTTTCTTTGGCTTTCCACCACTCCCCCCCCCCACCCCGTGCCTGAGCTCCTTCCATTGTGAGCTCGCTCTTTGCTCTGCCTGTTTTCCAGACAGCCTGGGTCCCGCTCCATCTGGGGAGAGTGGCCCGTGAGGTCTCCCCATCTTCATAGTAATCTCAGGATGTCATTCTTGGCAGCGGCTCTGCCGGGGCTGAGAGGATCGGGGGGCTTTCTGGAGCCTGAGCCTGAACCCACTCACAGAGAGGAGCAGCCACATGGCTCGGCTGCCCTTCAGGGCAGGGCTGGGGTGACCCGGGTTGGCAGGGACGAGAGCATACCATCACAGTGACCCGCGCGTCTCCAGCGCAGGGCTGGGGGTAGCAGAGCTCTGGGAACGCCTGGAAACCCTTCGGCCTACATTAAGAGAAATGTGGTTATTCTCTGTTTCAGGGGAGAGACAAGTGGCTTGCTGCAAAGCTCCCCGGATCCTCAGGCCCTGTTCCGCCCCCTTTCTCCATCCTTCCCACATCCTTCCCTTCCCAAGGAAAAAGAAGGACAGACGGGGTTTTGAATTTGGCTAACTGGGGCCTGAAGGTCTTTTGGAAACCCATTTGGGGAGAGAGGGAGACGGGAGAAAACGGATCCTAGCCGGAGCCCAAGTACAAATGTGTGGGGCCGGAAAACTGGGGAAGACTTTTTCTTCCCTTTTTTTCTTTCTCTCAACAGCAGAACAGCCCATTGGTTTAGGAGTTGCTAATGGAAGGCACTGGGACTTCTCCGTTAGACCTTCCCATTTAAGAGCCTGGGGTCACCCGCTCTGTGCGGTATCATTAAAAGATGCCGCTCATGTCCTTGGGACCAAAAGGTATCAAAGAGCCATCTACAATGCCGCTTCCTATCCCTTTTCTTCTCCTGGGGGTTTTCGTCGTCTTTTCCGAATTAGCTAAAGTTCATTAAAAGACCCAGAAGGAGAAATTTAACACAGCTGAATTAAAATGAGTCTTTTCCTGTTCACTTGACAAGGGCGGGGGCGGGCGGGGGGGGGGGGAGTGGAGAAAGGAAAGAAAGAGAAGAAAAGAACCAACTCCCCTCCTCTGCCACTTCTTGGGTTTTAATATGAATTATTCCATACAAGTCCCTAGGCTAGAGGATCTATTTAAAGACGCCTGGCAGCATGAAGGGAGAGGGTAAAAATACAACCACTCTTTTGTCCGTCAAAGGTTTTCTTTGGGAGGACATTAAGAGCATTCCTATTTTCCTGTCTGCCCTGCCAGTGGCACCGTTCCAGCCGGTAGCACCCACTCCTCACCCGTCGGATCAGCAACCATGAACTTGTGTGTCTGAGCACCGCGGCCGCAAAAGATGCGGAATCCTTCCGCGACCCCCATGTGTGTGCGGGGGGCGGGGTGCGGGGAGAGGCTGGTAGGTAAAGGGGGAGCCGGCTCCGCGGTGCAGGTTTGCTTGCTGCACATTCGAGTTTTTGAGGGAGACTGGGCCGATGGTATTCTGTGTGCCGCCAGCTGTCCTCACATCTGCAAAGCTTTCTTCCCGCGTGTCTGGCAAGAGTTTGCTTGGGAC